TGTGCTCTGCAGTTGCTGAATATAGTATCCTATAAGTGTCATGTCAATCCTATTGGCTAATGATTGTTAATGCTACATACTTTATTGCTTTGTTGACTTATTCTATCAGTTAGTGAAGGATGTTCAGATTGCCAGTGATATTTAAGAATCATTTCCCTCATGTCTTCTAATTATTTACATGTATAATGGCTTCTTGATGTTATATCTTTCATCCATGTGCAGTGCCACCTTTTTTCTTTTATCTGCAATGCCTTTGGTCTTGGTGTTTTCATGTAGCCATGTCTCTTTACGTGTTTGATGCATAATGAATCTTTTCTATCCATTCCATGCCTAGCCTGTTTGTGCATATATCCTATTTCTAAAAAACACACATTATAATTAGATAGTTGAATCATGTGTTATGCATTCTGATAATCTCTTCTTTTAAATTGAAGTATTGGGTATATAAATCATGATTATATAATTGTATAGTTTTCAGCCCACTATCTTAGCACCTTATTTGTTCTTTGTTCCTTTGTTCTTGCTTTCTTGCCTTATTTTGGGTAAACCTTTCAGTTCGCTGTTTTATTTATTATTTACTTTTTTAGGTATATCACTTTGTGTTATTTTTATGGCTACTGTAGAGTTCAAAATATATACCTTGTACTTCAAATATTATGTTGTGCTACTTTAATAATAATAATAATACTTGAGTGTATTCTTTTTAGCCTTCCCTGCCTATTGTGGTTCATTATCTTTAATTTCTACACATATTAGAAACTCCACAATACAATAATGGTATTTCTGGTTTAAAAAGCTACAAGCTGGCCAAGCACCAGTGGCTCAAGCCTGTAATCCTAGCTACTCAAGAGACTAAAATCTAAAGATCATGGTTCCAAGCCAGGCTAAGCAGGAAAGACCATAAGACTCTTATCTCCAGTTAAATGGCAAAAAGCTAGAAATGGAGCTGTGGCTCAAGTTGTAGAGTGCTGTCCTTGAGCAAAAAAAACTTCAGGGTTAGCACCCAGGTCCTGAGTTCAAACCCCAGCAGTACTGGGTTCCCCCCCACCCCCACCCCCCGACTTAGGGTTTGGTTTGTTTGTTTTTGGTTGGTCATGAGGCTTGAACTCGGCCTGGGTACTATCCTTGAGCCTTTTTTTTTTTTCCTCTCAAAGCTAGTACTCTATCACTTTAAGCCACAGCTCCAATTCTGGTTTTCTAGCAGTTAAGTCAAGGTAAGTACCTCATGAACTTTTGCCCAGGCTGGCTTTGAAACACAGTCCTCAGATCTCAGCTTCCTGAGGAGCTAAGATTATATACATGAGCCATCAGCACCTGGCTATCTTCCTTTTTCTTTATAGGATTCATCTGATGTCATTTTTCTTATACCTAAGAACCTTCTATAGCATTTCTTATCATGTGGATTAATTCTTAATGGTTAAGAGATTCAGCTTCTTCTCTCACCAGTTTTTGCAGGACATTTTTAGATACAGAATAGTTTTGTTTTTTTAAATCATCACTTTAAAGATTTTTACTCCATGATTTCTCATGTGGAGTCACAGGAACTGGTATTATCTGTAAGTCCAATGTGATTTCTTTGTATTCATTCTGCTTTGTAGAATCAGTGTATAAGGAGAAAACACAGCTTTCCTACTCTGCTTCCAATGTGTAATACCTTTGTGATGCTGTGTTGGTTCTCAGACTCCAGCTGGGTATCCTGCAATTCAAGTCTGACACTGTCCACCAGGTGCTAGCTCAAATTGCACAGGTTAGGAACTCAATTCCACACGACTGCCCCCAATTCAGGCACCAGCTATATGTCCAGTTTGTCAGTTATGCTCTAACTGGCTATAAATCAGAGGTTTCCACAGCCTATTCTTTGGGTTTGATCTTTTGTTAGAATAGCTCGCAGAAGTTATGGAACACTTAGTAGTATATTAGTTAGATTGTGATTAAGGATGCAGGTGACCAATGAGGTAGAGAGATCCTTAGGGGTCTGGAAGGGTCCTGAACACAAGTCCTTCAGTTCCTGTGGAGTTGGGAGTTGCCACCCCTTCTGCACATAGATGTGGTCACCAACTTGGAAGTTGTCCAAGTCTTGTAGCTTAAAGGACTCTTAAGGAGCCTTCACCACATAGGATGATCTGTTATTAACTCATTCTCTAGCTTTTCTCCCCTTCACCAAGGATGGGGTGAGGTTGAAAGGTCCAATCCTTATAATCATGGTATGATCTTTTTGGTGTCCCGACTATATCCAGAAGTCCACTAAGAGTCTTTGTTATCAAGAAAATCCCAGGGGAGGAAGTGCTCTGTGTCATAAATTATGTCCCAAGATCAAATATTAGAACAAAACAGTCACCTAGTACCCTTGCTGCTTAGGAAATTAGATGGATTTTACAAACTCAGTGCAGGAACTTGAAGTAGAGAGGAAACACATATTACTTTACTATGGCACACATACTTTAGAATATCACATACCCATGAATTGATAGCTTTCGTCAGTTGTCAGCTGTTTTCTCCTTGGATATATTTTGTTCTATTTCCTGTTGTTTCTTCATGTTGTACTTAATGTTACTATGTTGTTGTTGTTGTTTTGGTCTGTTATGGGGTAGGGCTTGAACTGTAGGCCTGGACACTGTCCCTCAGCTCTTCAGCTCAAGGCTAGCGCTCTACCACACCACAGCACCACTTCCGGCTTTTTCTGTTTATGTAGTGCTGAGGAATTGAACCCAGGGCCTCATGCATGCAAGGCAAGCACTCTACCACTGAGCCACATTCTCAGCCCTGTTACTATGTTTTATGGTTACTCAGAGATCAGATATTTGGTTCAGTATTTTTTCTTCTCTTTCTCTCTGTCTTCCTCATTGCTGTCAAGACATTTTTATTGCCCTGTTTCTCAGTTTTACTGGGCTTTTCTACTCTGTCACTCTGTTGTTAAGCTTCTTTAACTTCTGATAGCCAGATTTTATTTATTTCCTTTGGTTAGTTTTTCATACTTTCTCTTCTGGAATCCTCTCTTTACATATGTTGTTAATCCTTTTTGCTTTGTTCCTTTTTACATTTTTTATTATTATAAATGTGATGCACAGATACATAAATCAGGTAAAAAATGTATTTCCTTTTGGACAATGTCACCCCTTTCCTCACTCTCCCAGTTTTTCCCACCCACAAGTTGTATAGTTTATTTTCAACATAGTGTCCATTGCGTACCATTGCTATATTTGTTCACCCTTTGTCCCTCCATTTCCATGTCCCCCCTTATCTTTCCAAGACATAAATGAACAAAGAAGACAAAAATAAAACAAAAACAGCAACAAAGAAAAGTCCTCTTGTTTCCATTTCCTGTCTTTCTATGTTCTTGAGTGTATTCATTATGGTGGCCATCTAGTGTTCTGACAGAGCCAACACTTGGGTTTCCTTCTCTTAAGTCTTTTTTTTTTTTGAGCATAGGTCATATTTTCTTGTTTCTTCGTGTGTCTTGTAAGTTTTTATTGTATGCAGAACAGTTTGTTTACTTGTAAAGACTGAACTAAAAAATATATACCTCCAAAAATAACATGTCTAGCCTTTTTCTTGTTGATTCTGTCAGGTTGCTTTTGGAGTAAGGCTTTGTGGTAGCCCTGGCTAACTTCAAGTCACTGCTGTCTGCACACTATGGAGGGAATAGTTTAAACTTTTCAAAGAGACATAGAATCTGAGCACTTGAGCAATTCTGGAGATTCTTTGGAGCTTTAAGACAGAGCCTTTTGAAATGGTTTGAGATCAGTCTTGCTGTCACTGCAATCAAGAGCCTTTCACATCTCTGGGAGCTTTCTTTCCCCTCCAATCCCTACTGTGGCTTTCTTTGAAAATCCCTTCTTCTACACCCCTTAGCCCTACCTGTTATAAGCTACTCTTTTCCTGTCACTTACCTACTACTTTTTTTCCTCTGATTAAATTCATGTAGGTTTCTTTGCATCCTCAGCTTTCTGAAGGGCTTTAAACATTGTGAGGATTGTTGAACTTTCCAATTGGTTTTGCTCATTTCAGTGAAAGCTTCAGGGTTCTCTTTCAATTGGACGTGCAAGCTTAGAAAGCTTATTGTACTCTGTTACTTAATCAATAGATATTCACTCCATTTTTGGTTCTGCAGAGCGATGCATGCCTTCTTGCATGCTAAGCAAACACCACCACTAAGCTCCATCTCCAGCCCCAGGAGATTTATTTTTAATCCAGTGATTTAAATAATTACCCTAAAATGTTGATTATTTGCTTCTTTCCCTGTTAACTTAGTAAAAGAATAGACTTTTCTGATGATGTACTATATAGATTGGTAGTAGAAAGATTATCTTACCACAATAAATTCAAGCCAATATTTCATCAAACTAAGGCTTCAGGTTATTGTAATTATGTAGTCAGAGCCTAATAAAAGTGTGTGTGGAATAATTGACACCTGTGTCAGAGACTACAATAATAGATCATTCTTTTTTAAATTATAGATGTATTTGTAGGTTGTGAGTTAGGTTAAGTCAGTTCTTTTATTCCTTTTGATAGTATGGATTTTGAACTCAGGCACTGGTGCTTGTTAGGTAAATGGTCTATCACTTGAGCTACATGAGGATCTTGCTCAGGCTGGCCTGTTTGCACAATCCTCTTACTTCCACCTGCCAGAGCTGGGATTACAATTATATACCACCACACCTGGCTCTAAAAACAGGGCCTAAAACAAAAATTGAAAGTTATATAAATGTAGGAACAGCTTCAAGGGCCATTTATTTTTACAGGAATTCAAATAGTTATTTGATGTTACTTGAAAAATATGTGTGTGTGTGTGTGTGTGTGTGTGTGTGTGTGTGTGTAATTTTCTGCTCTTAAGAAATCAAGTTTTCATTATGCCACCAAACACATCAGCTTCATCCATGCAACCAAGTTATAAAATGACTTCTCTCACTTAAATGTACTGTTTAGATATGTGTCTGTCACACCATCTAGACAGTGTAGCAAATTCTGACTTTTCATGTTGTTGCAATACATCTTTTCAGATTCCAGAGTGTTTCCGAAAAGCTCCATATGGAGTGCAAAGCAGAAATGGTGACACCTCTAGTGACAAATCCTGGACATGTGTGCATCACAGACACCAACCTCTATTTTCAGCCTCTCAATGGGTACCCGGTACGTAGACCACAGGGCCAGGGTTGGAGTAACCGCATCTACAGGTGCAGTTTTCCAGATGTTTGCCATCATAATCACTGTACCTTTGAATTTTGGTGGTGATCAAAATCATTTACCGATTCCCAGCCTTTGTGTCTGCACGGCCTCCCTGTGTAGACCCTGTGACCAGTCACCTAAATTTAAGCTTCTCTAATCTACTTTTGTTATTCTGACACCCTCACTGTTGGTGCCAAGAGTCACTAGGAACTTAACATTTTTCTGCTAGGAAGCATTGCTGGAAAAGAAATGGATGTTTCCTGCATATTTGTGTGCATACACTTATGTTGGTACTTCTTGCCTATCCTAAGTGTAGATTAGTAGTAGATCCAAATCTTCTCTGAGGCAGCACTGTTACCTGCCATTCTCCACTCTACCAGACATGAGGTAGAGATGCTACATTCCAATTTGGCAGGGTTCCTTCTCTTTCACAAAGACTTTAGACTTAGGACTAGGCCACAAAGCAAAGGTAAACACAGATTTCTACACCACCACTTGTTACTTACCTATAACTAGTCTCTTTTTGAAGTGGATCCTTGAAAGGGGAGCAATCCTGATATTCTTGCAGTACATTTTGCACCATTTGTCCATGCTGCTTATTGAATCAGGAGTATTTTCCCCTATTGTTCATGGCTCTAAAACAGAAGAGATGCTAGAAGGATTTTGGCCACTAGGTGGTGGTGCACACTTGCCAAGTTCTCCCGTGTGCTTGCCTAGAGTGACATTCTCTTGGTGGAATACCTTTGGCTTGGCTACTGCCATTATTGTTGCTTGGGTAAAACATTTATAGAAAAATGTATAAGTACATGCTACAGATTCAGGATCCATTGTATGAGCACTCATCCCTTCCCAGGGCTCTGGGTCAGGATCAATGATCTGACTTGGAGTCTTCAAGGCAGTTTCCACAATTGTATAACCTCTGTACTTCCACTTCCTCTCACCTGGGCGCAAGGATATGGAAGTTTTGCCTTTGAGCTGATCTCCTGTATTTTCTACTGTTTCAAAAGTTCCACGGACTGAGGAAACTTTTCTTCTTCCTTAAGACACAGTTTAGAGACTCTGTCTTTTATAGGCTGAAATTTGTTAAGGAGGTAAAAGATTCTATCAAGAATAAATGTATACTAAGCAAACCATTGATCTGTAAAATGTAGCTGAACTCCTGCATATTTAGTTGTTATTCTTGCCCTTCAGAATTCTGCATCACCCAGCAGTCTCACAGTAACCTGAGAGGTAGATGACTGCATTGTCCTTTGGGAGGTACTGTGTGGGAAGTAGGAGACACGGTCAGGGTTACAAAACTACTGAAAAATGGCAGAGCAGAATGCAAAACCAGATACATGATCTGTGTTGAGAGCTCCTTTTCTAGTTCGTTAGACAATACTCTGGTAAGATTTAATTATTCCCCCCCTCAATATAACATAAAACGATATTTGACATTGTCTTTCTACTTTTTAAAGAAACCTGTCGTCCAGATAACACTCCAAGATGTCCGCCGTATTTACAAGAGGAGGCATGGCCTCATGCCTTTGGTGAGTTCAAGTGCATTCCCAGGGCTAAGTGGATGGTTGCCATACTTTCAGTTTGGTTGGTGGCTTATGGACTTTCAGACCCTTTATTGATAGAGATCTAAAAATGTGCAAGTATATTAAGCCACGTGAACACCATTATAGGCAAGTGGTTTTTTTTCTCTTGCATATACTAGAAATCAATAGAGGAAAAGAGGTTCCAATGCTAAAACATTTTTAGTTCCACAAACATGAGGGCTCAGAGCATCTTTGAGTTTCTCACTATGAAATGTTGTACCCCTATTTCACAACGGGACACCCCAACACTCAATTCAGCTAGGAGTCTTTATTGCTATGTGGTGACTGCCTCCAGCTCCCAGAGCTTCAGAGTGTAGCAGCCAAGCCCTCTTACAGCAGGATTTTAAAGGGATAAGCCACAGGCAGGTGACATTTTTGCAATAAGCCAAAGCAAGCAAGCTGGGGACACAGAAGCAAGAATTACAGTTAGCAGGAACTTGGCTCTGGGAGTACAGAAGCAAGAATTACGCAGTTAGCCAGAATTTGGTGGTTATCCTGGTTTCCCCCTCACCCATTTCTCAGATTCTGCAAAAGGTCAGGTGTTCTTGATTCCGATTAGTCAGGTCACTGTGTCTTCTGCGTCATCCCTGGCCGGGAGAGTCCCCTAAGGCAGATGCTGATTGTTTTACTACTATTTACTGAATGCCACTAACCTGGTGTTTAATTCTCCCTAATTTACTTCAAGCCTTTATCTTTGGAATTTTCCTTTTAGTGACTAACCTGTAGTTTCTTTCTACAAAGAGGTTCTGCCTTTAATGTTTTGCCCTGTTCTGTTTTGTTTTTTTTTTTTTGTTTTTTTATTTTGGCCAGTCATGGGGCCTGAACTCTGGGTCTGGGCACTGTCCCTCACCTCTTCAGCTCAAGGCTAATGCTCTACCACTCGAGCCATAGCACCACTTCTGGCTTTTTCTGCTTATGTGGCACTGAAGAATCGAACCCAGGGCCTCATGCATGCAAGGCAAGCACTCTACCATTGAACAACCTTCCCAGCCCTTGCCCTATTCTTTTTTTTTGGGGGGGGTCCAGTTGTGGGGCCTGAACTCTGGGCCTGGGCACTGTCCCTCAGCTTTTCAGCTCAAGGCTAGTACTCTACCACTTGAGCCACAGCACCACTTTGGTCTTTTTTCTTTTTTCTTATGTGGTGCTGAGGAATTGAACCCAGGGCCTCAGGCATGCAAGGCAAGCACTCTACCACTGAGCCACCTTCCCATCCCCCTTGCCCTATTCTTAATGAATAATTTTGTTCTCTTTCTGATTTCACACTTTACATTCTTTTGTGGGGGTTATCACACTAAATTTTTATGCTTTCTGGGCTTAGGCTAGAATAATGTTTATAGAACATTCTAGTGTTCACCATCTGTTCAATGTAGCTAGTTCTCAAAGTAAACAATGGAAGATTTTAAAGAAATTGACTTGGGTTTCTAGTAGGACTATAGTAAAAATTAACTTATGTAACAGTCTTTGGGCTTAGAAACAGGGAGAATCACTACTTAAATCCTATGTTTTTTCCCCATTGTCTACCTTAAACTTCTGTGGATGCTTACATTTGTCTAATTAACTTTGGAAAGCAGTTTTTACAGAAGTGATGATGCCTTTTTATATGGACATCAGTATAAATTCATTTTCTTCTTTTTGAAGGTTCATTAATAACATGAAGAATTGTAAAAGCATTGTAGAATTTTAACTATCTCTTTGTATTTCTGAGTTGAGAAATTTAACTGCCTTGCTGCCTATTTATGCAAAAGGAAGCCTCTCCATTTCTAGCTCTAACAGGGAACTGGGGAGATGGATACTATCAGAAATCTCCTCTGGGTATATAGGAGCAATCAGAAAAGAGAAATGGGTTTGGGGGTGTGGCTTATTTGGTAGAGTACTAGCCAATGAATGAAAGCAAAAGGAAAGAAAAAGATAAAGTAACATTGATTAAGTGCCTTCTATACAATGTATATAACATCAATGTATATAACATCTCCCTCTTTGCCCTTACAATCCCTGTGGAATGAATGATTTCCAGTGTTTCAGATGAAGAAACAGACTTCAAGAGTTAATTTCTTAAAGTCTGTTGGCTAGCAAATAGCAGTAGTCTGAATTTGAACCCAGGATAACTTTGGGCTATCATCCTTGTCTGTTTCTGTTCTGAATAAGCCTTTACAATATATTATTCACAGAGCCCATATCTCCTTCCTTCCTTCCCTTCCTTTCCTTTTCTTTTTTCTTTGAGTCATACAGAAGTTGGCAGTCCTAAGGTTTGAACTCCACACCTTAAATTTGTTAGGCAGGTGCTCTACCACTTGAGCCACATCCCCAGCCCTTTGGCTCTAGCTGTTTATTGAATAGAGTCTTGCAGTTATGCCGGGGCCAGCTGGAATAACAGCTGTGTGCCATCACACCTGGCTTTATTGTTTGACATGGAATCTCATGAACGCTTTGCCTCTGGCCTCAAACCATAGTCCTCCTAATTTCTGTGTCTCAGGTAGCTAAGACTACGGGCATGAGCCATTGTGTTCAACCTACCAAAGAACATTTTACAGTATATGTAAATGCTTATGTATAATATAAATTTAGAGAGATAAATGATATCTGAGTCAAAGTATAGATGTGAAATATTAATATAAGATCTACAAAATAAGAATATAAATGGTTAAAAGGCTTTTGTAGATTTCAAGGTGAATATGATGTTATTCTTTCTGAATTTATAGGGCTTGGAGGTATTTTGCACTGAAGACGATCTGTGTTCTGACATCTACCTAAAGTTCTATGAACCTCAAGACAGAGATGACCTCTATTATTTTATCGCCACATACCTAGGTTTGTTTCTCACCCTTCATTATGTCTTCTTATATAATGGTAGTTCATTCCTAAAAGCTAAAAGCAGACAAGAGAAGAAAAGTGCCCTGTCTGGAGTTCTTTCTGTGATTCTGCTTCCTTCCTCCATCAGTAATGGTCATTGCTGAAATTTTATCTTAAAAAACAAGGGAAATGGGGCTGGGAAGGTGGCTCAGTGGTAGAGTGCTTGCCTTGCATGCATGAGGCCCTGGGTTGGATTCCTCAGCACCATATAAGAAGAAAAAGCTGAAAGTGGCACTGTGGCTCAAGTGGTAGAGTTCTAGCCTTGAGCTGAAGAACTGAGGGACAGCACCCAGGCCTAGAGTTCAGGCCCCATGACCAACAAAAAAAGGGGGGGAAGGGGGAATATTAAATTCATGTAGGTAATAGTTCATTTTAGTTATGTGTTTTTAAAACTCTAGATAATTTTTATCTGTTTTAACTCTTTCAATGACCTCCAAATTGAATGAATTATGAAGAATCTACCCAGATGTTTTTATATTCATTCATGTCTTCTATTGGTCTAATGGAAACCAAAGATTGTGTGTCTGAATGTGAGACAATACAGTCACTGATTGTGGTGAACCATGTACAAGCAACACTTGAGCTGTGTATACTTCAGGCTAGCAGGATAATTTCATTAATGACTGTTCAGTGTTTCAAGGAAAACATGAAATTTTCCACCTTTATATTGTTGTTATCGAACTTGAATTTTTTAATCGAACTGTATGACTAAATTAAACCAAGTTTACAAGGTTGTCAGATCAGTATAAATGAATTTTTTAAATGAATGTTGGGATCTGATTACTATCTGAATTTTGTTTAACTTTTAGTGTGCAATGAAATCTTTATGAGCCATATGGTAAAGTACATCTTTCCCTAGATATGAAATTTTCCTACAAGAAGGAATAGTTTATTTTTCCAAGAAGTAATCTATCTTATTATACAGGTTTGTAGTTAATGTTTTTTTCCACTCCTGAGCCATTTAAGTTTATTTAACTTGTAAATATAGTTTTCCTACAACTTTGCTTTTATCTCTAGTTCCTGATTTTTATTTTATCTTATTTTCCTGACTATAACAAAATTATAGCAAAAAAATTCAACTTTGTGGTAAGTCCTAAAATCTCAAGTCAGAACTGTGTCATGACCTAAAACATATTTTCTCAAGCTGTCAGCTCCCTTTGAAATGATGCTAAGGTTGTTCCTTGGTTTGCAGAGGGGTTTCCAGAGTGGAAATGAGGGGTAACAGAAATACTTTAATTTTCCTGTTAGCTGATTAGTAACTTGCTAATACTAAATAAGAATAAATATTGAGGGGCTGGGAATATAGCTTGGTGGTACAGTGCTTTCCTTGTATGCATGAAGCCCTGGGTTTGATTCCTTCATACCACATAAACAGAAAAAAAGCCAGAAGTGGAGCTGTAACTCAAGTGGTAGAGTGCTAGTCTTGAGCAAAAGAAGCTCAGGGGCAGTGCCCAACCCCTGAGTTCAAGCCCCAAGACTGGCAAAAAAATATAAATAAATATTGAATCAACATGTGAGTTTAAGTTGCTTGATAAAAATTTGAAAACAGAAATTTCTGAACAAAATACAAAATGTACTTGTTTTTAGGATAGTTGATTCCTCTGTACTCTAAGTAACTACTTTGGGAAAATAATCAACAGCCTATATTTCTTTATTTTAAAATGTATGTTCCAGCTGGGTGTTGGTGGCTTATACCTACAGAATCCTAGCTTCTCAGGAGGCTGAGATCTGAGGGTCATGGTTTGAAGCCAGCTCCAGGCAGGCAAGTCTATAAGACTTTTATCTCTAAGTAACTGAAAAAAAAAAGCTGGAAGAATGATGTGGCTCATGTAGTAGAGCTTCACAGCCTTTAGTAAAAAAGCCAAGGGACAGCAACCAAGCTCTGTGTTCCAGATCCAGTAACAAAAAAAAACATGTTCAAGAAGTTTGTGACTAGATTTTTAAGCAGCTAGTTCTTACATGTGAAGTAAAAGTGAATGCAGTGACACACTCCTGGGTCTGTTTCCCATTAGAGCACCATGTTGCAGAGCACACTGCTGAGAGCTATATGCTACAGTGGCAGCGAGGACACCTGTCCAACTATCAGTACCTCTTGCACCTCAACAACCTGGCCGACCGCAGCTGTAATGACCTCTCTCAGTACCCTGTGTTTCCGTGGATAATTAATGACTATCATAGCACAGAACTGGGTAAGTGCTGCATGTGTGGATGCTGACAAAGCTAAATCTGACATTGTCATCTTTCTTAATAGTTTTTAAGGAGAGATGACGTTCTGTTTTAGAACTATGATGTGGTAAGTGAAGAAGTTACAGCTCATTCATCTTTATTTTTAAAGATGACCAGTTTCCATGCGCGCGCACATACACATACACACACACACACACACACACGTATATTTTCTTTGCCATCTCTTGAAGGATATATATATATATATATATATATATATATGAAAAAAGGATAATTTTAATCTGGTGTTATAATTATTTATAAGTACCAAGTTTTGAAATATTTAATTTTCTTACTGAAAATTATGACTGTTGATAAAATTATTTTCAAATATTAATAAAACTTTTGATTACTCCCCTCAAATTATGCATTATAAAAGATCAGAAAGGAAGAATAAAAAATCATCCATAATTACATTACTGAAAGTCATTTTAGTTTTGTGGTACATAGACTTTGGTCTTGTTCCCTCAAATTATTTTAATAAAAATGTGATAGTTTAAATTTTACTTTATAATTTTTAAAAGTAAAATTAGCTGCTTTTGAAAGTTTGAGTTGAACCTTTGTAACTGAAAGAATAGATTGTCTTAGGAATTTAAGAAGAGTAAAATAATGAGCTTTTTAATTAGTTTAATTTTTATGTTTCATTTGAAAAGAAATTTTTTTTAGTCAGTCATGGGGCTTGAATTCAGGGCCTGAGCACTGACCCTGAGCCATTTTGCTCAAAACTAGCCCTCTACCCCTTGAGCCACAGCTCTATTTTTGGATTTTTGGTAGTTAATTGGAGATAAGAGTCTACGGACTTTCCTGCCTGGGCAGGATTCCAGCTTTGATTCTCAGATCTAAGCCTCCTAAGTATCTAGGATTACAAATGTGAGCCAACCAGCCCCTGGCAATTTTCTGTTTTTAATCAGAAAATAATTGTTTGAAGAAATTCACATTCAAAGCCAGATTAAAGGTACTACTTTTCTGTACTGTGCTTTTCTGTGCTGCTGTATAACAAATATAAATGCTATTCTTCATGGATTCATGTCTATCTAAAATTATTTTGTAGAAATAAGTGTGTAAATTTGGATCAGTTAAGGAGTGGTATAAGCTGAAGTACTTACTTACTTATTTATATTTACAGACTTGTCAAATCCAGCAACCTTCCGGGATCTTAGTAAGCCAGTGGGAGCCCTGAATAAGGAGAGACTAGAGAGACTGCTGGTATGTGGACTGGATGCAGGATTCTTGGTTTTTAAGTAACACAATGAGTCCTGGACTCTGCTTTCTCCCAGCCTCAGAGGAGAGGCTGTAGGAATATCTCACCGGTCCTGCAGAATGAGTTGTCTTTCCTCTTCTCACCACCAATATCACTACTTATTACTATTTGCATTTTTTTGGTCTAGTATTCATTCTGGAGCTAGGTTTGGAGACTCCTTTAAGGGTTTCTGAATTATTTTCATGAAAGTATTCTGTATACATTGAGAGATGAAAAAAATCCATTCTGTTTTCATCTAAACTAATGCTGTTAACACAAAGTTAAGTAATCTGAAGGACCTGTGGCAGGAATGGTCACTAGTGCTCTTCCCTTGTTGTCCTCACTTCTTCCTGCCCAGGAGGGAGGGAGGGAGGACACTGTGCTGTGCCAGGTCTCTTAAGTCAGCCACTACTTTCTGGCCAGCACTTAGCACTATTTCTTCCTATGTTATAGACACGCTACCAGGAGATGCCTGAGCCAAAGTTCATGTATGGAAGTCATTACTCTTCCCCAGGCTACGTGCTCTTTTATCTCGTCAGGATTGGTAAGGCTGCTCAGGGTCCCCCAATGCAGTCTGTTTTACTTGGCTCCTCAGACTAGATTCTAGATGGTGGCATGATGTAACGTCTTATTATCTCTCCCTTTAGCTCCAGAGTATATGCTGTGCCTACAGAATGGAAGATTTGATAATGCAGATAGAATGTTCAACAGGTTTGATATAAATGTCTTATTTACCTTTTCTGATGCTTTCTGATTACATATGTATAAGACGTTTATTTTGATTCGTTACATATAAACAAAAATGTCAAGAAATGTTTAAAAATTACTAAGAGCTATTCTCTTTCATGATGTGGGTGTGGATGTAGGTGTGTATGTGTGTGAATAAATGGTAGAATTTATTTTTAAATAGAGATTTTTTTTCCTCTGCGTCTATAAGTTTAATAGTAGGTCTCGAAGTTTTCCCCATATAGATATATTTCAAAACCGTGATTTTTTTTCAAAAGTTATTTTTTAAAATTAGTGTATCATGTTCTAACATAGAACATAATGTATTTAACTTTTTTCTTTGTTGAGAATTAAAATTGTTTTTAAATTTTTAAGATTCTTTTTTGGTAGGGGTGGTTGGCAGGTAGTGAGGATATTTGAATTCAGGGCCTCATACTTGCAAGGTTGATATTTACTGCTGAACCACGCCCTCAGGCCTTTTTCCACTGGTTACTTTTGAGATAGGGTCTTGCTTTTTGTCTGGGCACATGTGTAGACTGCCTGATAGATTTCAGTCTACCTGTTTGGGATGATCAGCATGTGCAGTCATACCCAGCTTCTTTCCATTAAGATGGAGCCACATGAACTTTCCTACTCAAGCTGGCCTGGAACTGCTATCCTTTCCATCTCAGCCTTCTCCATAGATTTGGATGGATAACAGATACATGCCACTGTGTCCAGCTATTGGATGAGAAGGTGATCTTCTCATGAACTAGTGGCATGAGCAGTGGCATCTAGCTTTAACATTTTATTATTCTTAATAATTCTGCTACAAACTGAAAATAACTTTAGAGTAAATATACATACACATATACACAACCCATACAAATTTTTCCAAACATTCAAAATGCAAAGAAGGAAATCAAGTTCATTTTGTATCCTACCACACCTGCATGATAATGTTACTATTCTATTGGTTTTTGTCTCCCTGATCTTTTTTGGAACTCTTTACATATCTGTGACCTCTTAAATCAGTTGTTAATTTTGTTGTGCTGATTTATTAGTACTTGGGCACTTTGTATGCGGCAGTGTGTGTGTGTGGTAGGTGGGTGTGGCAGTTAGTGGGATGGACTGGGACTCCATGCTCAGCCCTGTGTGACCTAGAGAAGTCACACCAACTCCCCGGGCCCATTTTGTCTTCTGTCCAAGGGAGCGGGTATTCCCATGGTGCTGAGAGTGATGATGCATGAACCAGTAGATGTTGCAGGCATAGATGCCAAGGAAGCCCTGTGGCTACTGGTACCATAACTTAGATTTCACATCGTGGGAATTTGTTTCTCACACTAGTATCGCAGAAACCTGGAAAAACTGTTTGGATGGTGCCACAGATTTCAAAGAGGTAAGGATTCATAGAACTTAATGATTTCCAGAGCCTGTGGTTTTGAATTGTTTTTAAAAATGCTTCTTGCCATTCTTTATTTTCCCTATTGAACTTGCAGTTGATTCCAGAATTCTATGGCGATGATGTCAGCTTTTTAGTCAACAGTCTAAAATTGGATTTGGGAAAGAGGCAAGGAGGGCAGATGGTGGATGATGTTGAACTTCCCCCATGGGCCTCAGGTGGGTATCACCTGAGGCTCTGTATCCTGTGTGTGTTTGCATGTTCAGTACCTTTAATTACTATGTGGCTTAATGTTTTAAAAATATTATTCTCTATCTAAATGAAACAATATTAGTCTGCCCCAACTCAGAAGTACTCTGTACCTATGAGTTAATAATATCAATGTATATTCGAGAGGCCTAAATATTATGAAAGTGATTCTTGCCATTTCTCCTCTCCCTTCCCCCCAAAAGAATTTTGTTTCATCTAATGGAGAAAAAACTGCATTAGAAATATGTACTTCTTGCCTCTCCTAGAAGCTTCACCTATATATGGATACTCAAAAGAAATGAGAGGAAATAAAATGGAGACTATGTGATGTTCTGATTGAGTCCAATCTGGTAGGTCCCAAGGACTTTCTCCAGAAGAGCAAGGATGCACTAGAAAGCAATTATGTGTCTGAGCACCTTCACGAGTGGATTGATCTGGTATTTGGCTACAAGCAAAAAGGGAGTGATGCTGTTGGTGCCCATAATGGTATGTAATGTTCATTAACATCTCTGTTTGATGAGAACAAAAAATAAACAAGGTTTGGTGGTGCATGTTTATAATCCTAGTAACTCAAAAGACTGAGACAGGAGGATTGTGAGTTGAAGCCAGCCTGGACTACATAAAGATTTTGTCTCAGAGAAAACAAACAAGGACAGAACAATCAAATTTATTTTGGCAGCAGGATGGTCTTACCTTAGGAAACATGAGTCCATGGTTCTGTAGATACTGAGAAGGAAAGAAGGGCTTTGCCTAAACACCTACCTCACCATGACCCCCAAAGATAGTCTCTAAAGTCTTCTGCTTTAGTCTATGGAGTCATCTGTTAGTATTAAGGAAGGAGGCGGGGGGGGGGGGGAACCTAGTTCCAGGACCTAATCTGGACACCAGAATCTTTGGGAGTTCAAATTCTATGTAATGTTATGTCTGCATGTAACCTACATGTACCTTCCCATGTATTTTACTTCTTTCCTAGACTAGATTGCTTATAATTACAGTGTAAGTACTATGCAAATTGTGGTCATACTGTATTATTTAGGTAACAATAAAAGATCTATATGGATCTATATTAGATGCGGCTTTTGTTTGAATATTTCTCATGTGCAGTTGGGTAAATCCACAGATTAGAACCCATGGGTACATCCATGTATCTATGATGTGTTCTCATCCCATTGAAGGCTTTCAATTAAAATGCAATCAAGGGGCTGGGAAGGTGGCTCAGTGGTAGCGTGCTTGCCTTGCATGCATGAGGCCCTGGGTTCATTTCCTCAGCACCACACAAGCTCAAGTGGTAGAGCACTAGCCTTGAGCTGAAGAACTCAGGGACAGCTCCCAGGCCCAGAGTTCAGGCCCCACAACTGACAAAAATAAATAAATAAATAAATAAAATGCAATCAAATTGAGGACAGTGACCTCAATTCCTTTGAAGGGCTCCAAAGTTTCTTTTTAATTAAACGGCAAGAAATAGCCATTTCCCTCCTTTTAAGTTTCACTCTGTCTCCAGGTTTCTCTGGAAATCCAACCTGGAGGCTGTAATGGCCTTACAGTCACTAAAGCTGTGAGAAGAGGTTTGGTGTCGCAAGGTCAAAGTACATCTCCTTGAGCACAGTTTTGAGTTATTGGTTTGAGTTTGTTTAAATTTTGAGCAGTCGACATACTATAACTGAATAACACATTTTTCAAAAGTGTTTATTATCTCTTTCAGTATTTCATCCACTAACTTATGAAGGAGGTGTTGACTTGAACAGGTACATGTCTATAAGGTGTTCTTGTTGTTTGAATGAATACAGTTATTTGAGAATGTTAATATATAAAAATTTAAAAATAAGTTCTGACTTGCCTTTACTATGGTGAAATCAAATTTCTAAGACTCAAAAGATAATGTAAAAGTCTGGGATGAGATTTAGGCAGTCCTGGCCCAAAGTTGCACTTTACTTTGAGGATTCATCTTTCCTGATGATCTGCATTGTTTGAAACATACTTTCAGGGAACGTGAACCTGGTGGCTCACTGAATTATCTGTTCTGTCCTAAAGCATCGAAGACCCTGATGAGAAAGTAGCCATGCTGACCCAAATCTTGGAATTCGGGCAGACACCAAAACAGCTGTTTGTGACACCACACCCTCGGAGAATAACCTCCAAGTTTAAGGTCCCCAGTTATAATTCTTTGGTAGAAGATTCTCCAGGTAAGTTGTATAAGGACACGAACATGACTGTTCCCAAAAATGAGATGAAACATGCCTGGAAAGAAATGTTTGGTTTTGTTGTTGTTGTTTTGGGTTTTTTAAAAACCATTTACTTTCAGAGAAATCAGACCACTTTGATTTTCTGGTAATTCAGTGACTGAGATATGGCTGTCTTTATGTTTGTTTCTTTGTTTGTTGCTCTGGTTCTCTTCCTTTTCTACAGGTTGACAAACTGGTATTCAGTTCTTAGCACTTCCCCCTTCATGTCTACAGCCCTGGCGTTGCCTGCTTTACCAGTCACCATGCACTTCTTTTGTCCTGGAAGTGACTTTCTCTGCCTCCAGCTTTCTGCCAAGCCCACATACAGATCTTGAATGCAGTTCAATCTGTTCTGTCTCTTTGTATGACTCTGTTGCTTATTTACCATGTGGCAAACATCCTAGCACTGTTCAGTCCAAGCATATGCTAGGTGCTAAAATGAATGTGACCAGGGCTCACATCCAGAATTAAGAAAAGGGGGAAAGGTCTCTCACACTTTTACTTTCATTCCATTATTCATTCTTCCCACTTCATTTAAGAAAGCCTCAGGCCTATAGGCTCCTAGGAAGAGCTGATGACACTATATGGCTAAGTCACTGCTCACCTTTTGCCTCTCAGGCACATGGAGCTGAGCCATTCTCCAGTAGCATGCAGGCACAATTTCCTGTGGTAACCTGACCCGGGGCAGCCCGAATGCAGCTCTAAGACACTTATGTTTCAGGGCTAAGGCAAGATGACTGTAGGATTCTCTTGTGATTCCATTACATCCTGTGTTTGCCTTAGTCACAAGACACACTACCTTCACATGACTTCACATGAAACAAAGAGGAAACTGCCCCACTTCCTAAGGAGAAGTGAAAGCATTACTTCTCTCCAGCAACCCTTAATTAAAGTCAGCGGTTTCTTCTCTGCATTCTTAGGCAGCTGCGGGGCATTTGCAAAGAATGCTGAGAAGGAAATGGTTATTCAGTCTTCACTGCCTGGAATTCCTAAGCCGGCAGCCAAGTGAAAACTTTGTCCATGTTTTTAAGACACTAGCATTATAAGATACTATTGAATCTTATTGTACAGGATATTTTCTTTGATGAACATGGAGCTTTCCAGCAAGTGTATTTGAATGCAGTTACATTTTGATGGGATGATTTTTCTTGGTTTGACTTTTATACAAAATATTGTTGTATTACCAAGAATGGTCTGTTGGTAATGTAGTTGACTCACTGTGTCATGATTGAATGTAGTCTCTCCAGGTGAAGAGTCTTTTGAAGACTTGACTGAAGAAAGCAAGTCACTGGCCTGGAATAACATCACTAAGCTGCAGCTGCACGAGCAGCATAAAATCCACAAAGAGTAAGCATGTCTCCATAGCCAGTAGCCCATGTCAAAGCTGCAGTCTCAGACATGATATTCAACTGTTTACACTGAGTCACAGAGGAGAGTTTTCTGTTGTCTTTGGTTGGGTTTTATACCCTCTGGATGTCTACGGTAATCTGCCACCTAAAATAGATGTAGCAAGGGAAAGTTTGGCACTAAATGATCTGTGTTATATACTCAGGCAGTGATTCTATTGTGTGCCACTGTGCTATGAGATGGGCTCAAGACAGCAGCTGGATTTGTGCCTCTCCAAGTAGATAGATGCTTGGTCCCTCTCTTTGAAACCCTGTGAAGCTACAAGACAAATGTGATCTGGCCTCTCCAGTACTTAACTCACAGATAATGTGGGAGAAATGCATCCTTTTACATATATGAAAACAAAGATGGATATTTACATATTAAATTCATATAGATATGAGGGAACACTTTTCTGAGTTTACATGAATTTTAAATGTAGGTCAAATTAATTGGGCTTGCAGTTGGACCCCAGGTGGGTCTAGGCATTGTAAGGTGGTGATGTGGTAATGGCAACAGATCCAGCAGAAAAGTTCTGAAGAGAACATTAGGGAGACTTAGAAAATCAAGTCAGAGCAGGTGGACTGGCACTTGGCTGCTAGTCACTTATCAATCTTTGTTTTAAACAGGGCAGTTACAGGAATTGCTGTCTCTCGCAATGGATCTTCAGTCTTCACAACATCACTAGGTATGTTTTCTACCCAGAATAGTTTAACTGGAACCATAAAATGCCCATATTCTTAACTCCTGGCCAAGGAATGTACTTGAAGGGCTACCTCCACAAAAAGTACATCTAGAGCAATATACCTGTGGATATATCACATAAAATTTCATTGTGGTTTGCCAGAAACCAAAGGAAAGTTCTGCCTGTTGTTGGGTTCCTCTTTTCTGTTACTTTTCTTGGTTGCAGTCTTTCTCTCCTGCCATGAGAGGGTCTACATCTAGTTGGTGGCTCTCCTAAAGTATAGAGTCATGGCCAGGGCTATGCCAGACTTAGACATATGTGTTCCAGCACCCATGTGGAAAGGCAGATCTGTGTTGGATTTTTCAACTTATTCATCATGTAACTTTTTTTGGTAATGGTTAGCTTGAAATTGAGTTTATATATTGCTAGTGGACCTAATATTTTATCAAAAGTACTAAAACAAAAATGCTTCTGGTAACCATGTAAATGCCTTTGCAACCATATTTTATGGCTAAATCAGAATTTGTCTATCTTGACCTTATAAAAAAGTAAGCAAAATGAAGTTCTTGCTGTGCATACCCTTACTGTCTATACCTTTACTGCTCTGTGTAATAGATGTTCATTAAAATGTGTCTCCTTCATGTTATTATGTTCCAAGTGCTGGGTGGCATCCTGGAAGGTATGTAGGTAAAGAGACACTATCTTAGTTTTCCTGCTTCAGTAGAAAGACAGCTGGTTATCATATTGTGTAGCTTTTTTTAATGAGGCTGTTTTTTCTATCCTTATTTACCACAGAATTACATTTTTCACCCATTTGGAAATGGCATTATCTAACCAAACACTGCCAAATAAATGAGTTACTATTCTCAGATTCTCTCACTGTTGTTTGCTATGTGGAGCATTTCATTCCTTTTTCTTCAGGATTTTCCACAATGCATAGAAAAGTATTCTACAGTGGACCCTAAGGAAGGTCACACACAGGACCCTTACTGTCTGAGTCAGGGTCCCAAGATGATGCTTTTGTAAAAGGTAGCACTTCAGGTTTTGTCAGGATTTCTACCTGCTGAGTTTGCCAACCTTAGAGCAGCAGACAGAAAGCTCTTTTAGCAAAGCCTGTGTTGTTAGCTGGATTTGTCTAGTGTGATTTGGTAAATCCTTCAGGGCATTGTACTTGTGTCACCTGTGGACCACAGGTTTTACTGAGAATTGAGTCTTCAGATCTCTCGGGCTTATTATTAAGTACTGTATCACTTCTTGATGGATTTGCCAAATACAGGAAAGGGAGTCAGTAAGAGTTGTTTCATTTTATGTCTTAAATCTAAGCTCTTGCTTTTTCTGTCTCACATTTGGATTTTCGTGATTTGGGTAACTCATTGATATGCATCCTAATGCATTTGGTGTGTTCAGGTTTGTGGCCATTCACAGCACTTGTCACCTATCAGACTAGCTCTTCTTGAGGTCTTTCCCTGATCACTTGTGGTACAGAGAGGAAATCTTCAAGTAAAACATCTTTATACACTTGGCTGGTTTATAGTGTGTGCTGTCAGCTACCCAGACTAATTATATTTACTAGTCTTTGTGGTGAACTCTCAAAGATGAGGTTGGGAAGACTTCCAGCATTAATTAGAGCCCCCAGGAAAGCTCAGGCAATATTGTGTTCATTCCTCTGTCTTGGTTTTCAAGTTAATCCTGTGGAATGTCTTATTAAGGCTCATATTTACAAAATTCTTAGTGCATTTGTTGGAAAAAATGAGGCCCTGGGTTCTATTCTCGGTGAGGGGAGGGGGATGGTAAGAAACAACTTCTTGTCTGAAATTTAACTATACAGAAGAAGTTATGTAAGATTCTGGTATTTTATCATTTTGTAATTTAAAATTAAGAAATTTATTGTTACATATCTCAACTATGGAACATTCACAGCACAGTAGAGCATCATAATTTGTGAATCTGGGCTTTTGTTGTTTTATGGTTCCTGACATTGAATACATGATAGACAAGTGCTCTATCATGAGCTATACCTCTTAGCCTTCTAGGGTGTATGTGTGTGTGTATTTGTGTGTTTCTGACCCTTTTTTACCTTATTTTTACAATAGGTTCTTGGTTTTGCCTGAGCTGGCCTCAGGCAGTAATCCTTCTACCTCTGTTTTATCCATAGCTTAGATTATACCGTACTCAGCTTGCTTTTTTGAGATGGAGTCTTGTTAACTTGTATCAAGGCTCACCTTGAACTACTACTTTTCCATCTCCCCTCCCTGTGTGGCTAGAATTAGGCATGCCCAACCATCACTCATTTTGTTTTTAAGAGGTTGTTTTGGCAAATTCATAATTTCTGTGAAATTAAATGTTAGACATTTTAATTTTTTTTCTTTTGAAAGTGGTTCCCTTGATAAATGTTAGGTCTGAACAAGAGTGTCAGTACATAATTAGGCTATTTGTTAAAATATTTCAAAGTTGTTTTTTTTTTAACTGCTGTTAAGATTCCCCTCTCCCTTCTCTGTATCTATTGAGCTCACCTCAGTTACCTGGATCCCTATGAGCACAATAATGCTGTGCTGTCAGCAGCATGTTTGTGCTGGGGTTTCTAGGGTTAAAATTTCGTTTGTTCACATTGACAAAGCCTTAGGTCACACATCCCCTTGGGAATTACACCACCAGTTGGCCTCTAGGAACAAAAAGAGCAGCCATCCTGTAATGTCTGCTGTGGTTAGGAAATCTTTCTTATGTATTTCTTCTTTCTCATTATAAGATTCCACCTTGAAGATGTTCTCCAAAGAATCCAAAATGTTGCAAAGAAGTATATCATTTTCAAATATGGTAAGCTGGTTTTTCCAGGGTGATGATAGAAACCCATGTCATAGTTTGTTTTATATCCACATAATGATCTTTCATTTTTACCAGTATTCCCCTATTGCATCTACCTAGTCTAAATTAGATTATTTCTATATTAGATTTTTCAGGTTGCTTCTTTCTCATACGCTTGTTTTCAACATAGTTTTAAAAAATTGCCCATAAATACAAAGGATTCATATCTTCCCTTACATGTGGAAGCTAGATTTAGCTTATAAACTTATAAGTAAATACATTGGGTGGTGTACAAGTATATACAAATATATAAGCTGAAATATGGTAGATTCAAGGGAGACCTCAAACAGTGTAGTTCCTTAGAAAGACAAAAGTTCACACTATGTTGAAAATGAACTTTACAACTATGTGGAGAGGAGGGAGGAGTCAGGGAGGTGAGGAGGGAAGGGATGGAAGGAAGGGGAAAATCAAAGGAGAGTGTAACCATGCTCCATATGAAATGTACTCATTACCTTACTCATGTAACTATCACCCCTTTACAATAAAATATAGATATATTTTTAAAAGTCCAGCAAAATAAAACACCAGGTACTTTGAAAGGGTTGGAATGGGATCAAGGGGAAAAAGGTGGACAAATGAAGAGGAGGAGAGAGGGAGAATGCAGTCAGGAATCCAATGTAGATCTCACAAAGTTAAGAGAAGTGGGGGAAGGAGTAGGTAAGGGAGGGATGGGCGAGAATGTTAAAGAAGTGGCATTGATCAAGATATATTGTATTCATAAGCTGCTTTGTTAAGTGACATCTCTTTAATAAAACATCAAAAAGTTAAAAAAAATTGAAGAGCTAACTAGTGTAATTCTCCTTAATAAAGCTTTCAATTGGGCTGGGAAGGTGGCTCAGTGGTAGAGTGCTTGCCTTGCATGCATGAGGCCCTGGGTTCGATTCCTCAGCACCACATAAGCAAAAAAGAAAAAAGCCAGAAGTGGCTCTGTGGCTCAAGTGGTAGAGCACTAGCCTTGAACTGAAATGCTGAGGGACAAAGCGCAGGCCCAGAGTTTAGGCCCCACGACCAGACCCAAAAAAATAAATAAATAAAGCTTTCAATTGCAGGAAGAAATGTTTGTCACTTAAATAACTTCACATTTCTGAGTTGGTTGGTGTACAGTGCAACAAACCTATTCTTCTGAAAAGACGTATTTTATTTTTAATGTAAATCATCCAAAAATCATTCCCTAAGGAATTTGTGTTTCTTGCACACATGATTCAGTAATCCTTTTCATTGTTGAGCATTATCCCCAGCCCCCTTTCTCCACCCCAGTCCTATCAGGGCTCAAGAGTTGTCAGGCTAGCCTTCACACATTTTTCAACATTTGGACAGCTGGAAGGAAACTGTACTTCTACAACTCATGATAGACAACCTGCATAATTATAAGCAAAGCCCCTAAAGGACTGGAGCGTTAACTTTGGTGGGAGGATGGGGGTGGGAATCTATAAAATAATTGTCTCAAGTTGCAGGTTTACTAATGCAGATTGTTAACATCAATTTGAATTTCAGGCTTTATCATCGTGTTTACTTTTACCAGGAGACTCCACTGTCATCAGCTCTTCCTGGGATAACAATGTGTACGTACCTCTCTGCATGTTCATGTAATTCCACTGGTGTGTAAGAACATATATCCCACTGCAAGATACTGTGTTCTCTCAAGAACAGTATTAGAGACCAGGACAGTATCATTAGACTCAAGTATCATTTTTAATTATTCCAACTGAAATCTTATCATTTTTTCTAAATTTAAGCCCAGATAGGCCACATGAGGAAATTTCTAGTTTAAATTCATATTTTGAATATTCTAGTTTACTATAAGAACAAGTAACTTAAAGTTCTAGTGGGCCTTAATAATATAGAATTAATATTATTTCTTAAACATGAGCCTTAAAAGCTGAAATGTTGTATTAATTGCTCTTGTTGTCTTTTAGCTATTTCTATTCTATAGCATTTGGGAGATGCCAAGACACATTAATGGGACATGATGATGCTGTTAGTAAGATCTGTTGGCATGACAACAGGCTATATTCTGCATCATGGGACTCTACAGTGAAGGTTTATATCTAATTTTTAACTTATATGAATATATTATAAAAATATTGTAAGCACCTTTGGTTAAAATGCTACTTCACTTTTCTCATAATGTGCAAAGGACATGTATGGATGTTATTTTTTCTTAAAATGTGAACATCTTAAAAAATTATTGCCATTTCTGTACAGTATTTAACTGGTATAGGGTGGGTGGGAGATGCACCTAATATTCACTCAATAGGTCCTTTTATATTACTGGAGCTGGTAGTTCAAAACTGAGAAATTTCCAGATCAAGTGAGTAGTCATTCATAGATACATTTTACATAAATCTAAAATATACAAAGGCTTGTTTAGGTGGACATATTCTGCAATGTGTTCCATCCTAGGTGTGGTCTGGGGTTCCTGCTGAGATGCCAGGCACCAAAAGACACCAATTTGACTTACTGGCTGAGCTGGAACATGAAGTCAGTGTAAGTATAGGAGCAAAGCTCTGTGGCAAACTGAGTTTCAAGGCCCCGGGGTGCTGGGAGAAGGCTCTTGATCTTTGTTGTACAAGCTCTTTCCCTTTATTTTGCTTATTGGAGATTATAGATTAACCATGTTCTTTTATGAGTTAACTCATTAGGTTTATAAGTCTGCTTTTTTTATTCCTTCCCATTTGCTTTGTGTGTGTGTGTGCATTTAAAGAATTAGCTTCTAACCAACTATTGATTTTTAAAACATCCATTTTAAGGTAAGCCCTGCCATCCTTTATTTCCTCACCTGAGGGGTGGAGGGGACCATCTGCCCATAAGATGCTCCTCCCAAGGACAGTAACCTGCTGGCTAGAACAGCCAAGTGTGCACAGCTTAGTGGCAGCTAAAACAGAACTGCTGCATCTTAAGACTCTGAACTGATACTTAATTTTTATGGTTATCAAACTAACAGAAATATTTAGCATTTAATTTCAAGTGTTCCACAAGTATAATTTCAATCCACAAATCCCTCAAATAGTTTGGCATCTCACTATACTAAATTGTTCATAGTTTTCTGAGGTCAGCTTTAGGCTATTTGAAAACAGTGCTGCAGTTACCCTAGTACTACTTCATTTTCATTGTTGCTCTATATTCACAAGCCTATTGAAAGTACTTTATGTCATGCAAAAGGATGCTATTGAAATACACCTGAATTAGCCACAGCAGCATATTTAACTGCACAGTAGTTTTATCTGTGCCCTTGTGACCAGCTATTTGAATCAGCGTAGGAGAGCAGATCTAATGACCATTGATTCTAAGTGGGTATTTGTCGCTATATTCTTCCTTAGGTAGATACAATCAGTTTAAATGCTGTAGGCACACTATTGGCTTCAGGCACCAAAGAAGGCATAGTGAATATCTGGGACCTCACCACTGCCACTTTATTGCACCAGATTTCATGCCATTCAAAGACTGTATGTGATACTGCTTTTAGCCCAGGTAAGTATCAGAGTAGGTCAACTTAAGTTTTAAATCAATAAAAATGTTTAAAAGGCTTGCAGGTAAGAGATTTGTCTATAACTAAGCCTGTTTGTGCCAAGATATTGCATACTTGTGGCATTGGTTCCTTGTAGAATGGCAGAATTGGATAGTGTCATTCTTCTACTCATCAGAGAAATTAGTGAATAAGATGTAAATGAGCTCAAACCAAAGGGTCATCTCATCCCTGGGTCTCAGGAACAGACAGAAGCAGCATTTCAAGGAGTATAGTCATTGCTTAAGTATAGGGGGTGAGGGAAAACTGACACAAAACCTCAAAAAATCTCACAAAAGCTCTAAAGTGCTTTTTTTGTATATATATTCATTGTAAAAATACTGTACAGAGGGGTTACAGTTACATGAGTAAGGTATTGAGTACATTTCCTATTGAGCATTGTTACCTCCTCCTTTGTTTTTCCCCTACCATCCCTTCACTCCCCACCTCACCAACTCCTCCCTCCCCTGCCCCCAAGTTGAATAGTTCATTTTCAACATAGTGTCTTGTACATCTCATTGTTACAATGGGTCAGCCTGTATCCTTGTTTCAGCATTTTGTTTTTTCCCTTCCCCTCCCCAAATTAGAAATATATCTATACAAGATGCAGGGCACCGGAATCAAATACAGTGAAAACAGAGGTTATACCATGGGGCAAGAACATACAAAAGGGATAAGGTCTTTTTTACAGTCATCTCAATTGGCTGAGGATTATTCAGATATGCACTGAGATTCAGAAGGAGCTGGGGCATCCAGGTGATAAGCCTTTTGGAGGACGAACTACTTGAGTTCCGTGAAATGGCTGCTACTACTTTAAGTGGTCTATTACAGTGTAACTTCCTTACCATGGACAGTCCTATGCAGGTTCATTCACTTTGCAAAACTACCTAAGAAAGCGAGATCCTGGTTCAGTAGGAGACACCATTCCTTCTGTGGAGTTGGTGAAACACCATGCGGGGGTGCTAGGACTTGGTGCATGTGGTTTTCCTAAAGCACTTTCTAAGGCTCTCTCCACACCCGTGTCTCACCTCCTGTTGCAGACAGTCGCCATGTCCTCAGCACAGGAGCAGATGGCTGTCTAAAGGTGATCGATGTGCAGACAGGAATGCTTATCTCCACCATGACATCAGAAGAGCCCCAGAGGTATAGTTCCTGCAATGGTGAAGACATTTCCCAGCACCTTCTTGGTTATTTCGTGAGGGCTTATTTGACCAGTGTAACATACTCTTTCCTTCATGATGCTAAACAGATTATTTCCTAATCATTCTTGCAGGTGCTTCATCTGGGATGGAAATTCTGTTTTATCTGGAAGTCAGTCTGGTGAGCTGCTCGTTTGGGACCTCCTTGGAGCCCGAATCAGTGAGCGAATACAGGGCCACACAGGTAGTGTGTAGTTGTCTTGCTCCTTCTTGCTGAGAAGCCCTTTTCCATCCAGGAAGCACTCTTATCAGACAGAAAATACTTCACACATTCTTTAGGCTCTGAAGACTTCCCTTGAGTAGTGTTGGCTGGGTGATCTTTTAAATGGCTCAAGATAAGATTGACTGATGGCACACTGTGGACTCTTATTATAATACTCTAGATGTGTAGTGTGGTCATATATCCAATGGTATATGTGGATAGAACTACATACTACACAAAGCATCATTAAAGCTGCTCCGCCCTTTTACTTTAATAACACCTTGTAGATTCACTTTTATTCCGCTGATATTTGCATGCTTTCCTCCCAGTCATTTGAATTCTTTTCGAGTTTTTAATTCTAGTTTCAACTATCAACCTCTGCATTTTTAGCAGTCAGCAGTTAGTTGCTTCCTATCTTTTCACTTTCTATCATGTGGTTTTGTGTGGTTATTTCTTTTTAAACTACACATCTATGCCTTTCCTTCTTAAATGAGTAGCTTTACTAGCTCTAGTTCACTCATCAGGAGGTAAATCAGCACATGGTTATTGATCACTTTGACTTCTGTTGTACACCAGTGCATTCCATGCTGTACCAGTACATCTATACTTTTTAAGCTTTAGACATATTAATGGCTTATTCTTTTCAAGTTCTCTGTACCAAGCACTTAATTTACACAAGGATTATAAGAAAGTTGAAGAGATCAATTCTCTTCTCTGCAAACTCCTAGCAAGAATGAGCCTCACAGTATATCTTTGCCACCTTTTTTCATTCCTTCCTAACCAACATGTTTTTCTCTCAGGTGCTGTAACATGCATATGGATGAATGAACAGTGTAGCAGTATCATCACAGGAGGGGAAGACAGACAAATTATGTTCTGGAAATTGCAATATTAAGTGCCTTTTCCATTTCTTTTTTTTTTTTTTTGGTTAGTCGTGGGGCTTGAACTCTGGGCTTGGGCATATATCCCTGCATTCTTCAGATCAAGGTGAACACTCTACCACTTGAGCTACACACCACTTCCGGTTTTCTAGTGGTTTACTGGAGGTAAGAGTCTCACAGACTTTCCTGCCCGGGCTGGCTTTGAACTGTGATCCTCAGATCTCAGCCTCCTGAGTAGCTAGGATTACAGGCGTGAGCCACCAGCGCCGGGCTCCTTTTCCACTTCTGAGTGTTACAGTCAACTCTACTTTAGAGTTTGGTATTTTAAACCAAATGTTTAAATGAACTGGTGAATGTGCAATGATATTAATTCGAAGTCTTGCCACCACATGGAAAGTTTGTGGGTTCAGACTTTCTGAATCATGGTGACTTTATCAAAAGCCATTTGTTGCCATCCTCTAGAGCAGGTAAAATAGCTAGGAGAGAACATGGTGTTTTAAGATTAACGGCTGTCCCAGTGTGATGGTAATTAGAAGACTGGTCAGAGAGAAGCTTAAGAGATAACTGAACAGCTTAGAACTTTCCAAGAAAGTATATCATGTCCTCTGCCACTTTGGAGTCACTCTGGTCTTCCTAATCTGTTACAGTTGCTGCCATTGGTTTGGTGGGTGTGTATTAATGGAGTGGTTACTTTCTATAATGCTGTACCCAGATTCTAAGAACCTGGGAAAAGATTAGCAGTTCTTAACAGTTTCACTGTGTAAGGGAACCGTTTGTATTTCATTAAGCTATTAAATGCTCATCTTTTCTACATTAAAAATATTTTTCTGTAATGAAAGCAGTTTTCTTTTTATTTAAATTATTAGACTGAGATTTAAGACTGCAAATATTAATCGTTCTAGAAAACCACATGTAGTGACATTGTTAGGAAATATATCTTTCTTCCACTTGATCTTTTCTAACAACATGACTATAATATTCCACTATTTGTGAAGTATTTTTAGACCCAAGTGTACATATGAAGGGAGATAATCTAACTGGAAAATGTTCCATGCAAGACAGGCTTTTTTCTCATATTCAGTCTGAATCATAATTATGTGATTTTTAAATTTTCTGTACTCTTTACAAGCACTTTTATCCTTTTTTTAAATGTTTTTGTGAAAATACTGTACAGAGGGGTTAGTTACATGAGCAAGGTAATGAGTACATTTCTTACCCAGTATTGTTGCCTTCTCCTTTGTTTTTCCCCTACCATCCTGTCCCTCCTACCTCAACTACAACTCCCCACCTCTCCACCCACACCTAAATTGTAAAGTCCATTTTTCAACATAGCGTCTTGTACATCTCATTGTTGCAATGGGTCAATCTGTTTCCCTATTTATTTTGTAGGCAGTGTGACATAAGGAAAATTCATGGATCAGATAGAAGTAAATGAAATTTCAAAGACTTCGTTAGCACATATTGCATGACCTGAGGTGCACAGGTGAACCAGTAACTCACACTGGCCATCTAGAGCTGGGCCACTCTGCTGGCAGCACATTTCTAGACTCTCAGCACACTTCTAGTCTCTCAGCTCCAGCTGTTCTCAGGGCCCCAGATGTCACATCTTGGGGAGAAGACTGCTATAGCTGCACAGGTTCACATGCTCATGTTCAAAGCAAGCAAGCACAAGTTAGGTGATGGCAAAGTCCCCAAATGATACAACAGACTAAAATGTAACTTTATTTATATACATTTAATTAAATCAGGATAGACATAAATCAAAAGAAAAAGAATCAGGAGAGTTATTGCAATGTTTTGTTTGGAGGGTGGAAATGGGAACAAATACTAGGATAGCATTGCAAGACCATTGCAAAGTAGCTAAGTTACATAATGAATTACCCCACTCAATCTACAAATGAAAAAAAGGAGCTGAGGGTTTATCCTATTTAGTATAAGAAGTTTTGCATTAAATATATAGTGATTTGTTCAGAAAGTGATAGTGGCAACTTTTACAAGAAGTTTCCATTATGCAGTGACTACAAAATCTCAAAATACAGCTAAGCAGCTATGTTATAGCTCAGTAAGTACCATTCAGTTGTTCTGGACATTTCAGTTTAACATAGAACTAACATTCTGTGTTTTAGAAAGGCAGCAATAACCATTTGGCTTTTTAATTCTAAATGCTTAACATAGTTAAGGCGACAGTTGAAGCATATTGGTTAAGTGAAGGTAGTTAAAATTTAATGACAATCCTTACAATCCCTTGCATACTACATACACTGTATAATGCTTATAGAATGAAATCAGAAACTTAATTGGTAGTTTACACACACCCAGAACTACAGTCATCCTAAGTGTACTATGGGTAATGTGTTGAAATGCAAATAAACAGAACTAAAGTAATAGGAACAGTATTACACATTACCTAGGAGAAAGGTGATTGGTCTCTCACACACAGCTAAGCTTGCATCAATCATCCTAATCACAATGGCTTATGAAAGAAAGTGTCAGGTTTCCAGTAGAGAAACTGTTCTAGGAGTCAGTAAATCTCTTGAAAGTTTCACATCCATAAAGTCAGGATAAGGCTACAACTATGTTGAAATCTGAAGATACCAGGTGAAACAGGAAGACTCCAGCCATGGTATACAGACAGGTCCCCATGCAGCATATGCTCCCTGGCTCTGGAAAGCTTCGTGTGCATAATGCAGGAGTTGCTGAAGAAGGAAGCTGAAGTTCAACTACAATTACGCTGTTTGACTTTTAAACCTCAGGAATGGTGTGATCCATCAAGCTTTTCATAATGCTTGGAGCCATCCTACAAAAGAATCACTTCTATTATATACTGAGATTTCTTTTCAAAATGTTACATAAATCTAAGAAAACAAAAATTCCAGGCTAGTATCAAGATTAGGGAATAAAAGCCCTTTTTAAAATATGAGCTGAGACCCAAGAGTCTCTGGTTATGTAAAATTTGGCAAGTAGTGTGAACAGCTATTTGTATCATGGATAAACGAGTGAAATAGGGAACGAGTCCTTGTGCATTAAGACTGGTGATTAATAAAAGAAGCTTAAGCTTACAAACCTGGTTATTTGGGAAGCAGAAGTCGGGGGATCAGTCTGAGGCCAGCCTGGGCATAAAAGTTCATTAGACTCCATCTTAAAACAATGGCTAAGGGGCTGGGAAGGTGGCTCAGTGGTAGAGCGCTTGGCTTGCATGCCTGAGGCCCTGGGTTCGATTCCTCAGCACCACATAAACAAAAAAAAAGAAAAAAGCCGGAAGTGGCACTGTGGCTCAAGTGGTAGCGTGCTAGCCTTGAGCTGAAGAGCTGAGGGACAGCGCCCAGGCCCAGAGTTCAGGCCCCACGACCGGAACCCCCCCCCCAAAAAAAAACAAAGGGTAAGTGCAGTGGTGTGTACATATCCCAGCTACAGACAACACACACTGATACATACGTCCCCAGCAACTGGAGGAAACACAAGCAAGAAAGAAGGCAGCAGCCCAGGCTCGCCCTGACATGAAGTGATTCTATCCTAAAAATAATGCAAAAAGTGGCCAGAGGCATGGCTCAAGTGGTAAAGTGCCCACCTGGCTAATATGAGACCGAGTTAAATCCCCGGTTCAGAAAAAGAAAAGAACAAGCGTGGTGGTGTATGCCTATAATACAGGCACTCAAGGTATAGGACAGGCAGTAGAATGGGGAGTGTGAGGCTAGCCTGGGAAAACATGTTTCAAAAACAATCAGAAGGGCTGGTGGTATAGCTCAAGTGGTAGAAGCAAGCAAGCATAGATCTGGGTTTACTCCCTAATACACCAAAGTAAATTTACAAATTAAAAAATAGGCTGTGATGAGTTTGAGAGGAAATGGAAGAACAAGGACCAGGCAGTGGCTTAAGAGAACTCTAGAACAATTAGTCTTAACAGTAACTTTAGTCTAAGAGGGGCTAGTATGTTCTACAAAAGCCAACACCAATGAAACTTTGATTACAATGGTTATATTTGTGCATTTTTAAAATATCATTTCTACCTGCAAAACAGAAAACCAAAGGAGGAGTCCAACTTGGCTTAGTAGAAACACACTGTGCCAAAAGCGACTGTCTGAAAAGCTTTGAAGCAGCCAGCCCTTGCTAGCTTTTTAAATTGTTCTCAGTTCTCGAGGGCAGTTAGCACTGCATACTTCTCCCTGCCTCCTGAAGTGCTGGAATATAAGACAATGCTCCAACTCCCCAGTCAAGAAATCTCCACCTCCAACCCCCATGGCTACATTCCTACTGAGCAGAGGAATGAAAGCAGTTATGGCTGTCAGCTATATGTAAATAGCAGCCTCAGTACCTTTTCTTTTAGCTGGGCATTCTCAACATTTATCAAGGATATGGTAAATTTTACTTCATGCTTGCAAAGATAGATCCTTATTACCAACCAAATCCTGATTTAAATAGTCTCCAACTATTAGATAAATACCAAAGCATTCCGTAGGTTAAAAAAAAAAATCAAAGGTTCAGGAATTAAAATAGAGTGTATATGATGTCACATACTAAACTGTATCAAGTTGAATCACCTACTTACCTTTTAATAATATGCTCAAAGATAAAAGCAGGCATGATTGTAATGGTGATGACAGTCCCAGATGTGGACAGGATGTCTGCGATTTGAGAGTCCTGATGAAAACAAAGAGAAAGCGAATTTTGCTGAGGCTTTATTTCATAAATGTGGAACTCTAATCTGCAACTTATATGTCCCGGTTTAACTCTACAATTTTTCAGCTTGTAACAATCTTCATTATTTTTTAAAAAGGAAAAGTATTAGTACATTCTGACAAGTATCTTCTGCATTTTGTTAAGACTGAATAACTTTCTGCACCCCCTACTAAGTTTCTGTACTTAAGAGATCAGTGAGAAAGCTGCAACATGTAAAACTGCAGCAAAAGCAGTTCATCCTTACTTTCAATCCAATGACATTCTGCCCGTTGACTTCACAGATGTTATGTTCAGTGAGAAGACCATTTCTGGCTGCAGAACTATCTTTTACAATGGATGTTATTTTTCCATTTTTAAAGATAAAACCAACATGTCCGCTGCTATCTTTATGCATAGTAACTGTCCGTTCAAAGG